CTGTCGCATTGTCCCCTTGTCCCCCACCAGCAGTCCCAGTTCCCTCTCCGTAGAGCTGCTCTCCAGCAGGTCCGCCCCTGGCCTGTACTGGTGCGTGGGGTTGTTACTTCCCAGGTGCAGGACCCTGCGCTTGCCCTTGTGGGTAAATGGTAAGTTGTGTTTCTGTCCCAGCGCTGGGAGCAGCGGGAAGGACTGGAGCAGGGTCTCTCCTCTGACCCTGCCCATTCCCAGGGTACTGGGAACACGTCAGCCAGCGGGGAATGGCAGTGAGAGACGGAGCTCGGGGACTGCAGAGCCTCGGTGGCTCGTGGTGAATCGGACGTGCTCGAACTCTGAACAAATAACTCCTGCTGGCACTGAACGGGCTGCGTGGTGAGGGCTGGCAGCTGGGCAGGAGGGAGGGAGGGAGTCAGGGCCGCAGCACGGGGGTCTGGCGCAGCAGCCAGCACAGCTCCTCTCTGCGCCGCTGCAGCCTGATCGCTTGGATCATCTTTGTATTCACTCACTGGTTTGGGGTTTTTTCTTTCCCCCATCTTGATGTCATTTCTGTGGGTTTTTTTTATATCACAAGAAAGGGCACTTAAATAGCTGATTAACTGCTCTTTATCTACAGCGCTGCCTGCTCAGCCCCGGCAGATCCATGGCAGTGCGGAGCTGCAGCCGTTGGGACACAGGGCTGAGCAGAGCTCCGTGGCACCGGCCGCAGCGTAGAGCTGGGGCTGGCTGGTGCAACCGGCACTCTCTGCTCTGCAGCCCCAGACCAGCGACCGCTTTGAACTGGCACTTGTTAAAGGACACGTTACCGTCCCCAGACTGCCCTTTTCTGGCACCAGCACACGTCTCTGTGCAGTGAACTGGGTCAAGGAACTGATCCAGCTGGAACAATCTTTATGTTTCAGCGGTGTTTGCTCCCAATCCAGTTCACCACACAGTCCTGCACGCGCTGTCACAGGATGTGGAGGAAGGCTTCTTCCTCTCCCTGCAGTGCCGGCTGTAAGCGTTCACTGAGCTGTAATACTGCGTGGTAAACTGTCTGATTTTCTTGCAGTAATTTAACTGCTCCCACTTCTGTTTGGATTGCCGAGGATTCTCTCTTTGGGTAAATAATTTGCCTTCATTTGACTGCAAAGCGATGACTTCTGTGCTATAGAGCCTCGCTCGCTTTGTCGGCTGGTGAGGTCACTGCTCACCAAGGCAATTAAGGGAAGCAGAAGGTGGATGTGGATGACTCCTGGGGTCTGCGTGCGGGTATCGACCCGGTGCTCATCACCAGCCCCTCCTCCTTCGTTACAGTACTGTCCATTGCAGGGTCCTGTGGTGCAACTGCGCTCCAGTGGGAGCAGGGGCGGTTCAGAGAGCCTCCTGCCTGCTGAATTTGTGGGGTGTCACTAAGCAGGCGCTGGATTTTGAAAGGAATGGTCCTTTACAGTATGTATCTCCTGCATGGGTCAGGCATCCGTTCCTTGAAGATGGGCATCTCCTTGCAGGTTTCTCTGCGCCTCTGTTCGTTGTCACTTCAAACCGCTTAGCCATCGCTGGAGGATTGCCCTGCCCGAGGGGGAAACGGGTGTCCTAAAACCAGCCCTTTTGTGAAAGAAGGGGGAATACACTCCTGGTCTGAACGCTTGTTCATCTGCGCCTTCACGCTGTGGGGGTACAAACATCTAACCTGCTTCTGCTGGGGAAAATGTGGGAGCCGGAGCCCCGGGAGGGCACTGCTGGCTCCCGTCCCGGCAGGGAGGGCTGCCTGCCTGCCTCTGGGTCTGCACTGGGGCCTGTGCCCCTCTCGCCGGCCTCTGTGGAGGCCGGTGGCAA